TGTAGGTATGAGGGAACACGCGAACAAAAAGGAAGGAGGACGAGGAGGTGAGAAGAGGAGGATAACGAGGAGGAGAACGAGGAGGAAGAGGAGAGAGAGGAAGAGGAGACAGGAGGAGAGAGGAGGAGGAGGAGGAGGAGGAGGCAAAGACATGAGTTCAACGGGTTTCTCCTGAGCGCGGTGCTTCTGCTGCCAAGTGGGGCGCTTCCACGATTCAAGACCACGAACCCGTACCACACAAGAGCGAAGAAAACCGTGCCGACGCGGCCCAGCACCGCGAAAGAAGCCCTGGCGATGACAGACATCGGGTGCAGACAGCTCGGGAGCCTCTGGGAGCCGGCAGGCCTGGAGCACGTGCCCAACACCGACGCCGCTGCAGAGAGCTCTGGGACGCTCCGAGGCCGCTCCGGGACGCTCTGGATCGCTCTGCCCCTACCTTCCTGGTTCTTCTCCTCCTTCCTCCTCCCTCCTCCTTCCTCCCCCTTCCTCCTTCCTCCTTCCTCCTCCTTCCTCCTCCCCTTCCTCCTCCCCTTCCTCTTCCCTATCGCTCGTTCCTGACGCTCTGCCCTTCCCTGGCTTCCCCGGAGCGCCCCCGTCGCCGCCACGGCCGCATCCCCCGACGAGAGCCTGGCTGGGGAAAGCGCTCTCCAGACGAGGCCTGGCTGCCGGCTTCGGGAGGGGGTGGCCCTGGCCGTGGGGTGGCTCCTCCTCCTCCTCCTCCTCCTCCTCCATTTCCTCCTCCTCCTCCTGCCTCCTCCTCCTCCTCCTGTGGTGATGGTGGTGGTGGGCATGGTCACACTTGCCATCGCTCGGACGTGCATTCCCTGTGTTTTTGTTCGGTTTCGTGCGCGGTTGTTTCGCCAAATGATCCAGGATGCTCCTAGATGGTCCTCGCCGAAGGAAAAATGCACACGTCCGAGCGATGCCAAGCGCAAGACCACGGTGCGCATTTCGGTGACGACGGCACTGGTGAGCCGTGATGCGGAGGAGGATGCCGACGACGAGGAGTCGGCAAGATGCTGTTTGCCGGAGCGCTCTGCCGCCGTGGCAAGCTCGGGTCTTTGTGTCTCTACTGCGCACCTGCCCACAGCAGCGCCTCACCCTCTGAAAGCGCCAGCCGCCGCTGCCACAATTCGATGGGGAGGGCAGGCGTGGAGGAGCACGACGAGGAGGGGAGGGTAAGGAGGAGGAGCAGAGGTTGACGAGAGGAACACGGCGAGGAGAGATGAGGAGAGGGGTGAAGGGAAAGAGGGGGAAAAGCAGGAGGAGGAGGAGGAGGAAGGGGAAGGAGGAGGAGGAGGAGGAGGAGGAGAAGGAGGAGGAGGTGGAGGCGGAGGAGGAGGAGGAGGAGGAGGAGGCGGAATGGGTGGATGGGAGCAATACATCCCTGGCGAGACTGGAGGGCGGCGAAGGAGGCAAATGAGGGGGACGTGGAGGAGAAGGGGGTACAGGGGCGAGTCTGCAGGGGAGGAGGGAGAAGTGCAAAGAGGGGGACAAGGGGCGGGAAGAGGATACGGGGGAAGGAGAGGAGGGGGGACGACGAGGAGGGGTAATTGAGAGGACGAGGAACAGGCCAGGGGTAGCGCTTCCACAACGACGCGCTCGGGGGAAGCGAGCGAGGGGAAGCGGAGGGAACAAAGGGAGGAGGGAAGGAGGAGAGACGGAAAGGGGAACAGGAAGTAGGAGGAAGACGAGGAGGAGGAGGGAGGGAGGAGGAAGGGGAGGCGGGGAGGAAGAAGAGAAGGTCGGTAGAAGATAGGAGGATGAGAAGGAAGACCATAGTAAGCCCAATATGCGTAAACAATACTGCAAGACACCCTCCCGTCCACAGTCCTTTCCTCATGAGCGATCCAGCCTCCGTCCCTGCAAGTGTCGAAATATCTCAAGTCCCGTGCAACAGCAGAAGCATCGAATACTGAGCCCCACTCTGAAACGAACCTCCCTTCACCCTGTGCGCCTGGTGTATACCATGACAACTTCGAAGGAAGGGCCTGTCTTGAACATGGGGGGCGAACTCGGGCGAGGCCATCGGATGCTCGTCGCGAGATGCACTCACAGTCGGCGTTCCAACAGAAGTCGATGAAACAGAAGAGGCCCCAAGACGCTCGCTGGATCCGCACGAGTTCGGCGAAGCGTGCCGCAAACGAGCACTTCATTCGATGGGAAGGGCCGTGCAACTGGCAAATGTCTTCAAGACATGCGTGCGGTGCTGACACAATAACCACGCATGGAGCACCATCGGTCCTCCATCTCCGCGTATACGCTGCAAGGGTTGACCACGAACGCGTGCGGTGATTCAACGAAAACATATTAGGACATACGCGCCCTCCATCAGGGTAGCTGCTGCAAGCTTTTACAACGAATTCGCGCGGCGCTTAAATGACAGTCGCCTTAATCATTAACGCCAACGCTCCACTTGCCTACCTAACTGCTGCAATCTTTGAAGACGAGTATACGCGGCGCGAACGCAAGAACATGTTGAATACATGCAGCCCGCCCTCCACCCGTGCACCTGTGCGGGATGATTTTACCCGAGGAGAGCCCAAGCGAAACACCCAGCCCGCTCTGTCAATAAGTGCAGTCGCGCGGCCAGCAGAAGTTACTTTGAATAAATAAGGTTGAAGATTCAGAGGAGGAGGTGCAACATATGCATCACAAGTCAGGGGTGTGAGGAGGAGGGGGGGCAGGAGGATGAGGAAGACGAGAAGGGTGAACAGGAAGAGGAGGAACGGGGAAGTGGAGATGAGCAGAAGGGAGGAAGAGAGAGGCAGGAGGAGGGGCAGCGAGTGCAATAAATCTCTGACGAATTTGGTCCTACCCCGCCAGGGTTTGGCGGCGCGCACAAGAGGGTGTCGCGAGTGGACTGGGCTTCTGAGAAAGCGAGGGGGCTCCTTCGAAGGCAAGGCCTTTCTCAGAAGGGCCCGGAGGCCTGTGAGAGGGCGTCTCGCAGGCGAATTGGGCCTTCTGAGCAGAACCCCGCCCTCTCAGAACCCCCCCTCGCCGCCTCGGCAGGTCGCCGCATCGCACTATACCCCCTCCCAGACCTCCGACGCCCGGACTTTTTCCATTCGGGGCCCCCGGCACTCTGGACCGCTTCCCGCGGACCGGCCTCCGCATCGCTCCTCGACGGTCCCGGGGCCAAGCGAGGGCCCCACCGACGCCGAACACGGCGGAAAGCCTCCGCCTCGATTTCTGGCAATACGCGGGAGGTCGACACTTTTCCGCCCCTCCTCCAGTGGCCGACCAGGCCATCTGAGGCTTGTCCGGCCTCTTGCTGGGGACCTCGAGCGTGATTCGTCCTGGGCCTTGGAGTGACTGTGCATTCCTGCAGGTGTTGGAAACATTTGAGGATTATCGCCTCTGCCCTCGATGTGTTGGAGGTCTGCGCCCGTGCGCGCCGCCAACTGGTGTTGATGGCCGCGCACCAATTGTGAGCCAGGGGCCCTGCCCGGCCACGCCTGGCGCCAGCACGCACGACAGCGGGCGGAGTGCACCGCGAGACGCGAAGGAAGGCAGAGGAGGGAGGGATGAGGGCGGAGGAGCGAGGGGGAGTGGCAAGAGGAGGAGGAGGAGGAGGAGGAGGAGGAGGAGGAGGAGGAGGAGGAGGAGGAGGAGGACGAGGAGCACGAGGAGGGAGGAGGAGGTGGAGGAGGAGGCGGTTGAGGAGCGCGGTGATGGGGGCAGGACGCCCGTCCCCCAGCCTCGCCCTCCCCGCCTCCCTGAGAGCACCGGCTGGCTCCCGCTGCCGCCCCGCGGGTGACGACGGCCGCGCGCCAGTGAGCCGACGGAGGCGTCGCTGGCGGGTGCGAGACTGCGCATCGTCTAACCGATCCCTATGCCCACTGGCGTGGCCTTGGCCCCACTAGACGATTTACCCCCCTGGATGGGGATATCTATATATATACATATATACAAGACTGCAGTGGCGCTTCGCGCCATGCACCTTGGTCCTTGAAGTTTGGTATGCAGGCGGACTAGCAGGAAGGTCAAGCCGACAATTTAGCGATAACTCCTTGTTGCCTTTTCCGGTATCGCCGCTATGATAATGTTATTCGTTATCCTTTCTCCATGCTTCTTTTTCCTCATTTTCGCCATGCCCTGCGCATTCTCCCCATCCTCCTCAGCTCTTTTTGCGGAGGCCCCTCCTTGGAGAGCCTTTGGGGGCCTCACAAGAGTTGTTTCAGGCTTTCTGAAGGCCTTCTGGAAGCCTCCTGGGCGTGCTCTGGGGGTCTCTGGGGGCTTCCTCGGGCCACCCTGCCTCCAACCGCGGTCTCCCCGAACGACCGGGTCACGATTTGGAATGCTTCGGAGGGTGTCTTGGGGCCATCTTGGGCCGCCTCTTTGAAGGCCATCTTGGACCCGTGTTGTGCAGTTTTGGGGCTCTCTTGGGCTGTCTGGAAGCCCTTTCGAATGGTTGTGGGGCGATTTTGGAGCCTCCCAGGCGGCTTCGGACGCCCAGAGGACCGCCGTCTTGGTGCGTCGGGAAGCCGAAAAGAGGAGAACCCCAAAATTCACCAAAAACCAATAGAAAATCAATGATGTTTGCCTCTTTGGGCCTTCTTGGGAGTGCTCTTGGAGGCCTCTTGGGACGTTTCGGGACGATCTTTGGGGGTATGACAGCTTCTTGGGGCTCGTCGTGGACCGTATTGAGGCTCTGTGGGGTCGTTTCGGGAGCGCGCCACGCCCTGCGAGGCCCGCGGGGCCGCTTCGAGGCCTGTCCGGAGGGCCTCAAAGCCCCAGATCCCGGGAGTCCGGTTTTGGGTGGGGTGGTGGTGGGGGGGGGTCCTCCGCCCGGGCTTATAAAATATAGGAAGAGGAATGCACTTTTTGGTCTGCGGGTCGAGAGCGAGCCTGAGCTAGGCGGGCCGCGCAAAGCACTAATTGGGAAGAGGAATATACACATCCCCACCAGGGAGCTGGGCTGGTGGGGCCCGGACACCGCGGCCCAAACGGGGATCGGCCAGACGATGCGGAGAGACGAGAGCGGCCGCCCCGTGCCTTCAGCTGCCGCTCTTCCTCCACGAGTCCGTGCAGCGCTGGCGGGTGCCCCCCATGCCGGACACGTGGCACTTGTGGACGCCCCCGTCCTCGACCCGCAGCGTCTTCCCCCCGGCGTCGCGGACCAGGTACCTGTACTCCACGAGCTCCTCGGTCTCCTTCACGTCCACCACGACCTCCCACGTGTACTTCCTCGGCGGCTCCCTGCCGGAGCCCACGGGCGGCTCCCACTTCTGGGGCAGCAGCGTCATCTCCACGCACTTGCTCTCGTCCCAGCCGCCGAGGGCCTCTCGGTGGCGCGCGGGAGAGGGCGGAGAGGGCGGAGAGGGCTGCGCGAGGCAGGTGGCCTTCTGGGGGCCCCACTGGGGCCTCGCAGCAGCCCTCCCGCATACCAAGGAGCCTTCTCAGGGGCCCGTGGAGCCCTCCCATAACCCAGAACTCCGACGCCGCACTTCTTTCGCAGCGTGGAGCCCCGGAGGGCTGGACCCTTTCCCCCCCCTCCTCCTCCTCCTCCTCCTCCTCCTCCTCCTCCTCCTCCTCCTCCTCCTCCTCCTCCTCCTCCTCCTCCTCCTCCTCCTCCTCCTCCTCCTCCTCCTCTTCCTAAGTGCAAGAGCAGTCAAGAGGCCGAGTGCGGGCCCAGACCGCCCGGTCGCGGTTTTCGGCGAAGGGAGGTGGGGGAAGAAGCACACTGGCCTTCCTTCAAGGCCCCCCCTCCCTTGCCGCACGCGGGGGCCTCGCAAGAGCCGTAGACGCACAGAACCTCCCCCTGCTCCGGCTTGAGGTCCATGCGGAACGAGAGGCTCACGACGTCCGAGCGCTCCCGAGGAGGAGAGGGCTCCCGCGTCTCCTCTTCCTTGGGGTCTTTCCTCTCGGGCATCTTCCCGAAGGCGTCGCACATCTTGGAGAAGGTGTTCTTGCCCTGCGCGTCCGCCTTCTTCTGCGCCTTCTTGGTGTAAGGCAGGAGCTGCTTGGCCTCCGCGTTCGAGGGGTCCAGGTCCAGCACCCGTTCCAGGTCCCGCGCGGCCTCCACGGCCTCGCCCCTGCCCCAGTGGGCTTTGGCTCGCCGAAACATCGCCTTGACATTGTGGGGGTCCCTCCTGCGAGGAACGAGCAAATATAGGGGGAAACAAACCTACCTCGCGTTTGACCACCCTCGCTTCCAAGAGATACCAAGCGATGCCAAACTACGGCCTGTACTGGTCAGGCCGCTTGACGAGGAGGCGCGTGGTATGACTTGGTTTTGCCTGGAAGCGAAAGCGGGGTAGGTAATTCACGCTCTGAGCAAAGCCCGCACGAACAAAAACTATCGAAGATCCGCGCTTCGCGGCGGCGCGCGAACTGCGGCGCCTGTGGCGCCGCTGCTGGCGCGCTTCGCGCGCCACGGAGGGAGGGAGTGCGGACCTCCGAAAATCCGTGTTTATGCAGTGGTTTGTTCCTCGACTCCTGAGGATCGAGTTGCAGACGGTGAGGGTCTGCAGGTTGTCCCCCAGCTTCAGGTAGCACAAGGATTTGTTCACCTCCGCCGCGTTCTTGAGCTCCGCGGCCTTCCTCTTGAAATCGTCGGACCACTTGTGGGTATCGTTGAGATCAGCCTCCACCTTCCTGTACTTAACCAAGGCCAGCTCGAAACGCTGCCGCTTGACGAGCGCTGTTAGATGAACGAGCAAACACAAAGCCATGAACGTTTGGAGCTCCGCGCGGATTTTCTGGATCGGCGCTGGACCCCCCCGCCATGGTGCCAGAGGCGGCGCCGGAGGCACCGCCAGTGGGGGCCCAGCGACGATCCAAGAAATCCGCGAGGAGCTCCAACAGTTTATGCTTGTGCCGATTTCATTCTTCGAGATGCGCCGTCGTCCTTCCGCATGCCAGCCACCGCGAGCTTGTCCTCGGCGCACAGGTTGCTAAAGTCCCCGGCGTTCTTGAAGTCGCAGAGCTCCAGGGTGATCAGCGTCCGCTTCGCGCTCTGCGCAGCCGCCCCGAGCTCGGGGCCGCAGGCTCTCTGGGGGCTCGCGCACGTGAGGAGAGCTCGCTCGCCCTTCCTCATCTCCGTGCAGGCGCACTCCAGCGCGTCGCAGCACTCGCCGCTGCCGACGATGAAGGTGAAGTCCTTCGGCGCGTCGAGCTGGCTCACGCCATCGGCGACCACCGCCTCGACCCTCACCGTGACCCTGCCCATGTCCTCCACCCGCTGATAGCCCTCTCCATCCTCTCGGGGGTGTCCGAAGAGAGGGGGCTCGCGAATCTCGCCATCGCTCGGACGTCCATTCCCTGTGTTTTTTCTCGGTTTGGCGCGTGGCTCTTTCGCCAAACGATCAAGGATGCTCCTCGATGGTCCTCACCGAAGGAAAAATGCACACGTCCGAGCGATGCCACGGAATCGTGGCCCGAGGCACGCGCGTGGCCCACCGGGGGAGGCCCGGGGGCGCCGCGCCGTGAGCAGAGGGGGTGGGCCAAGAGAGATCCGGGGAGACACCGGGGCCCCGGCCATGAGATATCCACGCCCCTGGCCATCACCCCCCGCTTGGCCGCCGCCGATCCTTGAGCTTCTTCTTCAGCACGGACCGGTCCTTCATCACGGAGACGTCAACGACGTCGTACAGCTCCTCCAGGGCAAGCTCTATGCTCACGCCGCCGTAGGCCGAATCTTCGGCGCACTTGAGGCAGCACTTCTCCCCGCTCCGCATCCCCAGGATCGCCTCAAATCCCCTCTCCCTCCCCTCGGAAAGGAGTGATGAGGCGGGGATATATATATATATATATAGAGAGAGAGAGAGAGAGAGAGAGAGAGAATGAAGGAGGGAGCATGAGGAGGAAAGGAGGGAGCATGAAGAGGAAGAAGCAGGAAGAAGGAGGAAAAGGGAAGGAGGGAGCGGAGGAGCAGGAGAAGGAGGAGGAGGAGGAGGAGGAGGGAGGAGAGGAGGAGGCGAAGGAGGGGGGAGGAGGAGGGAAGAGGAAGCAGGAGGAGGGAGAGGGAGGAGGGAGGAGAGAGGAGAACCATGAGGGAGGAGGAGGAGGAGGAGGAGGAGGAGGAGGCGGAGGAGCAGGGAGAAAGGCGGAGGAAGCGAGAACTACGAGGAGAGGGGGAGAGTGGCCTTGTCCACCACCTTCGAGAGAGGCCCGTACTCGCCAGAGCCGATCGCGTAGTCGCAGCCGGACCCCTCCTTCGTAACGGTGCCGTCTGCAGCGGTCACCTTGAAGGAAATTCTCACCTCGCCGCGCTTCTTCGGCTTGTCGAAGCCCGTGCCCTCCTCGATCAACGACTTGACCACGGTGCCGTCACCGAAAAGGTCGTCCTTCTCCACCCAGCTGATGAGCTCCACCGTGAAGACCAGCGCGGCGTTGGGCGGGATCTTGGGGGGGCTGCCCTCCTCGCCGTAGCCGAACTCCGGCTGCAGCATGAACTTGGCCACCTCGCCCTTGTGCATGGTGGCCACGCCCAGGTCCAGGCCCTTGATCACCTGCAGAGGGCGAGTCGGCCGGCACGGGCGGGGACCGTCGGAGGCCCGCGAGTGGGCCGCTCGGGCCGGCGCCGCCGGGCCCCCCTTTCCCGCCGCGCGGGGCGCGCCGGGGGCGGCGTCGGAGGCGCCGTCGGGGAGCCCAGCGCAGGCCCAAGCCATCCACGCGGATCGCCGAATGCTTCCCAGACATGCGACGTCCTGATTTTTTCAGGACGGCGTCCCTGGACGTCCCGACCCTTTCCCCGGGACCGGTTTTTGGCCCTGAATCTTTTTTGACGGTCCCGAGGCCCGGCGGGGGCCTCCCGGGGCCGAAAATAGCGAAAAACCGCCCGTCCTGATTTTTTTACGACGCCATCATGTCTGGGTCGAATGCTTTATGTTCACGCGGGCGACGAACAAGAGAACAACGGGTGTTACGCAAGAGGGCACGGCGACCCTGCGCGGCGGCCTGCGCGGGCCGGCCGGCGCGGCAGGCCGCACTGGAGGCGAGGGCGCCTGCGCGCGAGAGCCTGCGCGGGCAGCCTGCGCGCAGGACGTCGGCGCGGGCGCTTCCGCTCTCTGGCCCCGCTCGGGCACTCTTTCTGCTTCTCCCTCCCTGGCCTGCCCGATGCCCAGCGTGAAGACCAGGGGTGCGTCGCGACTGTGCGAGGAGTCGAACTCCGTCCCGTCTTCCAGACAGCCTGCGCGGCCGGCCGCCGCCCGCTCGGCACGAGCCCGAGGCCCCAGGGAGGCGCAACCAGACACGGATCGGCGGCGAGCGAGGGGGGGGAAGCGAGAGGGAGGAGGCCTTCTCGGAAGGCGGCGCGGCTTCTCGGAAGCCCTCCGAGCCCTCCGAGAGGTCTTCTGCGTCTTCGGGGAAGGCTTCGAAAACTTCTCAGGAGGCCGGGGGGGGGCTTCCGGGCCTTCTGAGAAGGCCCGCTCCTTCTGGCTTCCCCCCCTGGGCTCTCGCCGCCCGAAAAGAGACAGGCACGACTTTTTCCACCGACAACAGGCGGGGAATGCAGATCGGTCGAGAAATCCGCTGCGGACAAGCAGAAAGCTGGCACAAGCAGAAAGTCGACGGGGCACAACAATAACCGATCAATCGATCGAGGAGCCGACACAAGCATACACCTGCATACTCTGTCGGAGCTCCGCACGGATCTCTCGGATCGGCACTGGGCTCCCCTGGCGGCGGCTCCAACGCCGCTCCTGGCGCGCTCCGCGCGCTGGGAGAGGGGGCCCCGCGCCGATCCCAAGCGCTCAGCGCGGAACTTCGAAAGCGTACGTTTATGCCGCTTTTCTTCGTCGAAGGGCGCCGCCCCGAAACCAACTGTGGGCCGTTTTCGCATCCTCTCGGGGCCCTCGCCGGGCCGCGGGACTGCCAACAAGATCGACTCACGATGAGAAGCTGGCCCTGGGGGGAAAGGGCCGGGACTTCCTGGGGCCCCGTCCTGAACAAAAATTAGCCTGGCGAAAGACCCAGAAATATTCAGCTGTAGGTACCGCGATCGCGTGTGTAATCTTCGGTGGGGTTTCTTATGCGGGGGGGGGGGGGGGGGGGGGGCGCGAAAAGTGTGACGGTGTGTCCCTCTGTGGACCACGAGGCGGTGCCTGCTGTGCAGTACGCCATGCAGGGCTCCGCAGCTCCGCAGGTCGCTCCACCCAGGTGGAATTCCCTGTGGGGCCGCGAAGCGCTGTCCTGGGTGGGCGAGACGCATGCGAACACCGGGCGGGGCTCCCTGTGGGGCCACAGAGCGCTGTCCTGGGTGAGGGAAACGCAGCGAAACGATGTCCTGGTGGGGGGGGACGCATGTGAAAACCGCCACTCGGGCTTTAGGTGGAGCTCTCTGTGGGGCCACGAACCGCTGTCTTGGGTGGGGGAGACGCATGCGAACATCGCCACTGGGACCTTAGGTAGAGCTCCCTGTGGGGCCACGAAACGCTGTCCTGGGTCGGGGAGACGCATGCGAACACCGCCACTGGGGCCGTAGGTGGAGTCCCCTGTGGGGCCACGAAACGCCGTCCTGGGTGGGGGAAACGCATGCGAACACCGCCACAAGGACCTTAGGTGGAGCTCCCTACGGGGCCACGAAGCGCCGTACTGGGCGGGGGAGACGCATGCGAACACCGCCACTGGGACCTCAGGTGGAGTCCCCTGTGGGGCCACGAAACGCCGTGCTGGCTGGGGGAAACGCATGCGAACACCGCCACTGGGGCCTTAGCTGGGGCTCCCAATGGGGCCACGGAACGCCGTACTGGGCGGGGGAGACGCATTCCAACACCGACAGTGGAGCCGTAGGTGGAGTTCCGTATGGGGGCACGAAGCGCTGTGCTGGGCGGGGGAGACGCATGCGAACACCGCCACTGGGGCCGTAGGTGGAGTCCCCTGTGGGGCCACGAAACGCCGTACTGGCTGGGGGAAACGCATGCGAACACCGCCACTGGGACCTTAGGTGGAGCTCGATGCGGGGCCGCGAAACGCTGTACTGGGTGGGGGAGACGCATGCGAACACTGCCACTGGGACCTTAGGGGGAGCTCCCTTTGGGGCCACGAAACGCCGTCCTGGGTGGGGGAGACACATGCGAACACCGCCATTGGGACCTTAGGTTGAGCTCCCTATGGGGCCACAAAACGCCGTACTCGGTGGGGGAGACGCATGCGAACACCGCCACTGGGACCTTAGGTGGAGCTCCCTGTGGGGCCAGCGAGACTCTGTCCTGGGTGGGGGAGACGCATGCGAACACCGCCACTGGGGCCGTAGGTGGGGCTCCCTATGGGGCCGCGAAGCCCTGTGCTGGATGGGGGCGACGCATGCGAACACCGCCATTGAGGCCGTAGGTGGTACTCCCTGCGGGGCCACGAACCGTGTAAGGGGTGTGGCGAAATTGGTGGCGATGATGGTGACGATAACGGTGGTGATCATGACGTCGATGATGATGGTGACGATGACATGGCGATGACGATGACGATGCCGATGACGATGATGATGCTGATGATGCTGATGATGGTAATGCTAATAATAATGCTAATGATGATGATAATGATGCTGATGATGATGATGATGATGATGATGATGGTGATGATGATGATGATGATGATGATGATGATGATGATGATGATGATGATGATGATGATGATGATGATGATGGTGGTGGTGGTGGTGGTGGTGATGATGATGATGATGATGATGATGATGATGATGATGATGATGACGACGAGGACATGCGCAGGGCAGAGGCAGGGATGGGAGGAGGGAGGAGGGGGAGGAGGAAAGGAAGGAACGCGGGGACCGTCTCTTCAAAACGAGGACCCAACACCACAGGATGGTTGGGAACAAGACATCGGATTTCTGGGCTCCACCCTCCCCTCTCGTCCCTTCCTCCCTCCCCTGACTCCAGAGTCGCCGTACCTCGGATGCCGAAGCGTGCCCTACTTTGCCGCTGCTGCTCCCGCCATACTGCTGCAGAGACACCCGCCCTGCCTCTTCGGAGGCGCGACTGTCCGCCCTGCGCCTCCGCATCGCCTGGGGTGCACCCCCGACGCCGCCTGAAAGCAGGCACCTCTCCACCAGAGCACGGCGGATCCAGAGCCAGGGTCGCCCCCTCTCCTCGCCCCCTCCCCCCCCGCCGCCCTCGTCGCCCCCTCCTCGTCCCCCCCCTCCTCGCCCCCTCGTCGCCCCCTCCTCGTCCCTCTGCGCTCTCCCTCTGCGCCCGCCTCCTCGCTCCTTCCCCCCCCCGCCCCCCTCCTCCCCCGCCCCCTCCCCCCCCCTCCTCCCCTCCCCCCTCCCCCCCTCCTCTCCCCTCCCCCTCTCCCCTCCTCGCCTCCCCCTCCTCCTCCCCCGCCCCCCCATAATCACCCGCCCCTCTGCGCTCTCCTGCTCGCCCCAGTGCGCGCCGCCCGCCGGGGTGGGCCTGGAGCCCCGCTGCCCGGCTCGCGCGGCACCGTCGCGCGCGACGCCGCCGCGCTCCGCCGCCGATCCGCCGCCGAGGCCGAGGGACCGGCTCGGCGGGGCGCGGCGCCGGGGCGCGGCGACGGCCGTCGGCGGCCGGAGCCCCCGAGGGGAGCCCCCGACGGGGAGGACCCGAGGCCTGCGCAGCCCCCGACCTGCCAGCCGCCGCGCCCGCCGCGCGGTTCGGGCGTGCCGCGCACGCGGCGTAGCCGTTGGGGCGCCGCGGCGGCCGCGCGCGGCGGGCGCGCCGGCGCGGCGGCGCCTTCCGCGCGGAAGGCGCGGGAGGGTGCAGGTCGAGAGATCTCGGCCGCTTTCGCTGGTTCTCGGCGGTTTTCTGGCCCCGGGAGGCCTCCCAAACAACTGCGCTTTCCGCGCGGAAGGCGCGGAGGGTGCAGGTCGAGAGACCTCGGCCGCTTTCGCTGGTTCTCGGCGGTGTTCTGGCCTCGGGAGGCCTTCCAGCAACTGCGCCTCGCCCAAGGCGTTCTGGGGGTGCCCGGATCGTCCCGAACGGCCGCTACCCGAAAGAATCTGAGACCTGGGCGTTACAACGTTTCCCTGGTAGCGTTTCGCTGGAGGACTCCACTAGAGGTGGAAAAAGGACCACAGAAGAGTCCAACAGGGGGGCCAGGGCCAATGACGCCTGGTGCGGAGACAGTCCAGCGGCGGTTTCGCCTGAGATTCCCTCACGACTGATTCGGGGATCGTGCTCTCGCCTCAATGCCGGCTACACACATGTTTGTTCCGGACGGCCACGATCCCTTGTGAAATATAGGGTAAAGTGCAATGGCCGTGCTCTCACATACCGACCTACTACTCCTAGACCAACCCCTCCACCGTTGCTGCTGTCAGGGCGCTTTGCTAGGGCATTTTGTTCGCACCAGGCGTGTTCTCTCCCAGTGTCGGGGCCCAGGGCCGTCTCAGATCGATGCGGCTCGAGAAATGGGGCTCTGGTTGTGACGTATCGCGATGCTGTCTTTTTGTTGCTGCGTCGGAGCTCAGGGCTGTTCCAACCTCCGGGCAGTGCCAATGGGGGGG